GGTGTCGAGGCGAGTACATGTCGACCACGGTCAACACTCTGGTCGACACTGACCAGTGTCGATCAACACCACATACCCGGTGTCGATCGACACCCTCATTAATAAGGTAAGTCGCGATTAAACCCGACTTCATCTCTTTCCTTTTCACTTTCTCTCAAAACCAAAAACCACACAATTTTTTCTCTAAATCGCAACTTCTTTGTTTGTTTATAGATTCAAGTGATTCAAAAGCCTATCATGGGCGGAATTCTGTGCTATTTCTGAATATCCAACTCATTCATCCGATCTGCAAGGTATGACACTCGAAATTCCACTTTTTCAGTTTGACCCCAAGGTTTGAAACTTCTGATTTGACCTGTTTTAGCTTGATTTAAGACTTGAATCATGCTTCTCTAGGTTGTTTAGGAGGAATTCGACCTTGCCCCTTAGTTATTACAGCTTGTTTTGCAAAATTTTGTAATTTTTGGATTGATGATCAATTTTGCAAAAATAGGTCCGAATTTGGGGTTTTAGACTGGAATTGTTTGTGATTAGTGATCACTAAGTTGCTGGTTAGGTTCGCCATTGATGATATAAGCCAGATTTTGAATTTTTCAAACTTTCGATTTTTGGCCTGATTTTCGAAAATTTTCTGTGTTCTTGGTTTTCTGAGTGCAGATGGCTCCACGGAACAAGCGATCATGTACTGAGACTGGAGAATCCTCCAACCCACCAACTGCTATACCCTCACTTCCTCCATGGCCTCGGAGAGAAGGGTTGAGGATCCCCATGGAGAGGGTATGGGAGGATACTCCGGCAAAGGAAGTGGCAAAACGCGACTGCGTTTTCAGAGGCATCAGCGAGCAGTGTGATGATTATGATACACTCTTCTACAATGCCTGGCTCAAGATGGACATCGCGCCTACACGCTTTGCCTGTCCTGCTACATTGCACAAGCTCGGGGTCAGGGAAGAAGCCATACGTGTGCTGAAGAAGATTGGTCTGGGCAACATTGCGACCAAGCAGTATGACCTGTACCCGGATCTAGTGCGCCAGTTCATTGCCACGGTGAGGGTGTATTACACCAATGATCTCGTGAAGAGGGCAGATGAGGGCACTCTTAAATTCATCATCTGAGGCATCAGGTACAGGATCAGCTTCACTGCACTCTGTCTCATCTTCGGGTGCGATTCAGCACGTACCAGCGTCTCTCTTCCGACGCCATTCCCTGACCTGCAGAGTTTCTGGTCCCATTTCGGTAATGGGATGTATGACTCCAAGAGGTCCACTCAGACAGATGTGCGCCATCCGTTGCTGCGATACCTTGTCCACCTCTTCTCCACTACACTCCTGTGCAAGTCTGAGCCCGGGAAGATGTGGGTTTCTGAGCTGACTCTCCTGTGCTATGACATTGAGGATGTGTTGACAGAGCAGTATCCGGTTGACAGTGATGTCAACATGGGTGCTATCTTTGCCCATCACTTGGTTTCACTGAAGACCAAGGCGTTCACCGGAGCTCAGGGCAAGCCCAAGAGTGTTGGTAGTCTTCTCACTCCCATCTTCCACTACTGCAACATCGATACTTCGACTTGCAGAGTTGTCTCTGAGCACCACCTTCTGGATATGAACTACTTGAGAAGGACACACTGGATTGCAGGAGATGAGCCGCTATGGAGTTTCGTCAGTCACATTGGCCAGTGATGTTTGATTCCGCTACCACAGCCTGCTCTCACTACACTTCAGACAGACTCACTCAGCTTTCAGCCCGATGCCACTTTACTGCGATCCGCGCCAGCTACTAGACGCAGAGGAGGTTCTTCACGAGCTGCTGCTTCTGCTGCTGAGGATGCGCCTTCTGAGAGCCTTGCTGGAGGTCCATCTCGCAACGCGAGAGCACCACGCACTTACACGCTGCCTGAGCCGATTGGTCGACATGAGCTTCCACCGATTCCAGACATTCTGATGGAGCAGACCACTTTTCAGCATTTCAAGGTGCTTAGTGTTCAGGCGCTGTGGCACGCCATCTCAGTGCTGTCTAACTGCGGTTGTGTTTGCCCCCACTCGCCTAATATTGAGGATGAGGATTAGTCCCTCTAGCTATCCTCGTTACTTTTTCTTTTCCCTTTGTTCTTTTTCATTTTCTCTTGAGTCAGTTTTTATATCTTTTTCTTGAGTCAGTTTGTCAGCTTTGAATTGTTTTGAAACTTGTTTGAACTGATGAGATTATGGATTATGTTGTTGCTTTTAATTGTTTGCTTGAGTGTTCCTAACAGTCTTGACTTGGGAGAACTTCAGCTAACAATCTAACTTGAAACAACTAGACATGTTTGGTTATCCCATTCTGTTTTCGGACAGGGTGTCGATCGGTACCACGCACGGGCACAGGTACCATTTTCTCATCTCTGTATCAACCATTTCATTGCTTATTTTTACCAACTCCATGCTTGATAACACTAGGAACAGTGTTGTTTAAGTCTGGGGGAGGTCGTTGCTGGCATTGTGTACATTGTTTTGGATTTATAGAGTCTCAAAGTTGAGTCAAAACCTGTTTTATTGAGTCAAAATTTATGAAATTGTCAGTTTTTCTTGGAACCAACCACAAAACATTGATTCTTATAAGAATCATTGTCACAGTTGTTGATTACAAGTCTTACTAAGTTGAAAGTCATAGGTAGATCAGTCTAGCAATGAAGGTTTAGGTTCTTAGAGAATCTGGAAAATTTGCTGTTAGCTCCACTTTAATGAACTTAAAACTTCTTGTCTTGGTGCTTGATTCTCTTTGATCTTGATTCTCTCTTCTAACGCTGACAAGTATGTTAAGACACAGTTTCTCTTTGATCTTCCCTGATAGAGCTTTAAAAGTTTGCGTCAAAAGAAGGGTGCATTCATGACCTCATCCCTTCACAAGGAAGAACAGTAATGAACACATTCAAGAACCTGTCTCCTCACAAGGAACACATGTATTGAGTAGCACCATATCTTAGACTGTAAAAGAATGAGAAATAGCTTAAAATAATAAAAAAATATATCAGAAAGAAAAGATCAAGGGAAGAGAAAATAGGAGAGCTATGTTGAGATTGCTTTATTCAGTTGTTTAGGAAGGGAAAAGAATCTATAGGTGATTGAGATGATAAAACCTTGATGATACATCACTTAGATAGAAATAAGGAGTTTAACAGTAGAGATTTTGGATTTATTGAAGGAGCTTGAATTGGATTTGAAAGATTTGCTAAGCCTGTGATGATTAGACTGAAATTTGATCTTGTGTTCACTTTGTGGTATGTGGATTCGAAAGTATTAATCAATGTGCTGTTCCTGTTGTCTGACTGATTTTTTCTTTGTTTTCAAACCTCGACTTTAGGCTTTGTCTGATGTTTGCTTGAGGGCAAGCAAATGATAAGTCTGGGAGAGTTGATATATCATGGTTTTTGCTAGTTTTTGACCATGATATAAGTCTTGTTTATAGAGTCTTTTTGGTATTTTTCGAGTCATATAGAGTCTTTGCAGGTCTAGGTACGTTTGGAGCATAACTGTGAGTTTTGGAGCCTTTTGGAGCTATGTTGAAGCTGATGCTAAAAAGACCAAGTCGGAGAGCACTATGAAGTAGGGTGTCGATCGACACCCACCACTTGGTGTCGATCGACACCGGTCCTGGTCGCAAAGAGAGTGTAAAAACTCATTGGAAGAATTTGCAACTTGGCCCAAAAGTTTCTCACTATTTGCATTTTTGCCCCAGTTTGTGTTTAGACTTGTACTTGGGTTTTCAAAGCCATTGTGAGGCGATTATCTTGTTTTCATTGAGATTAAGAGAGAGATTAGATTGAGAGCTTTTGGGGAGACAAATCCATGCTTTGTAGAGAAGAATTTTGAACCCCTTCATCTTTTACTCTATTTCTTAATGCAATTTTATTCAGTCATGATTTGTGTCTCACTTGCTATGTCTGAGTAATCTGCTAGTTAGGTTTTGGGTTGTTCAAAGGTTGATAATGAATTGTTAGAACTACAAAACTGGAAGGATAAATCTTTTGGTTCTTTATCTAGATTGCTTTAACACTGGTTTTAAGATTGATCACCTAGAAATCAGATCTTAGGTTGTTTAATAGATGTGGAAACATTATTGATCACCAGAACTATCTTAGATGAGCAAAATAACTGATTGCAAAGGAATTTGGATTAGTGATTTTGTGAACATATTGAACCTGAACTATAATGCTTGTTAAGTTGTTAGAATTTGCAAAGGAATTTGGAATTCTAGAATCTGATCATAGTTAATCTCTGCGATGGAAGTCGATTGGTTTTACAATAGTGTTTTCGAGTTCTAGAACGGTTTTAATAAATATTCCTTTCAGTCTGTAGTCTGCGATTTATGTCAACCTGCGAATTTCCCATTGATTTTAAGAACCTACAATCCGCCCCTGATTTCATTGCTTTTGTTGCTATTTTCGTTTTATTTATTATTGACTGCTTAGCATTATTTGAATCTAAAATCTGTTGAGTAGTAACCTTAAGTCCTTGTGGATTCGATCCTTAAGTACTACAGTGATCTCTTAATTTGATAGAGTAGCTCTAAAGGTAAATTTGAGCATATCATAGCACTTGACTACCATTTCATTCAGGGTCATGTTCAAAATGGTCTTCTGCGGGTCTTTCACGTCAACACCAAGGATCAACTTGCAGATGCTTTGACGAAGCCTCTACCACGTGCTCGATTTCAAGAATTATGAAGCAAGATTGGAGTGGTTGGTCCCCCTCCATTTTGAGGGGGCGAGCTAAGGATTCTCATAATCTCTCAAGATTCAATCTATGATACTAAAGCATTCCCTCTTTACTATCATATAATCCCCTATTATAACTTATGGTAACTTCTATATTTAAGTTAACCTAGATCGTCTCACCACGTCCATGTATATATGTATGTACAAGCTCTCTCAATAAGATCAAGTTATCTCTTCTACAGTAAGCTCACTCAAAAGCATATAGACCTTGAAAATGTTATAGTTCTGAAAAGGCCAAGTTCTGTTTTATCTTATTGCTCTGCTCAACATGTTTTCTGCCATCTTGTCTGAAGCATAAATTTTTAACAGTTTCAGTGAGTAAACCGTTCAATAATTTTTTAACAATTTCAGTGAGTAACTTTTTAAAATTTTCAGTAAAAAATCATCTTATTAATATGGTTCCAATAATAGAAGATATGATAAACTTTTGTACAAATCTATAAGCGCAAAACACATTAGACTGTCAAAATGATATGAAACAGGATACTATTTTAATAACACAGAAATAAATTGAGAACTCATTAATAATCCGAAACAATGTGAAAGCCTTCTAAGATTCATCCATCTGAAGTAGTTCGTAATTATGTTAAATCCACCCAGCAGATATACCATCAGAGTCAGAGAAGAAGGATTTAAAACCTTCACATGGTTTCTTCAAATGTGCACTTTGTTGAATTTTGATTGTTTTAATTGTATCTGCACTGCCTCTTTGTTGGACCTGCATTAGTCAATATGATTAGATATAAAAAACATTAATAAACCGATTATATAGATGCAAATTATTCTTGCTTCAAAACCAAATCATCTTTTTCATTTTTTAGGTCAGGGGAGATTGTGAGCGCAACTACGTGGTAACCTAGTTGAATCCAAAGATGTAGTTATATTCTCAATGATAAATAAAGGCATACTAATATACATTGACTAACAATAAACTTGTGAACTATATTAACCTTTTATCAAAATCTTATGCTTCAGGTAAAGCAGGATTGATCATGACTTGAGATGCATCAAAGGCAATCGTGATTTGAAATCTCCTGTGAAAACAACTACAACGATGTGTTGTTATTCTCAAATGAAACAGGTATTGCTATAATTCTAAATTAGTAGTTAGATGATGGCATCAACATAGAAACGACAAAACATTTTAACAAACTTACTTAGCATCTCTTCGAACAAACTCTAACTTTTTTCTGTCTTTCCCATTCATTTGAACATTTTCAAAATCTTTAGCACACTAGTTCGGTAATACCATCTGCAAAAGATCATAAATAGTTTGTTTAAAGATAATCATCTATGGAATAATATATTAATATAATTAAATTAAATTAAAACTGATATAATCTGAAAACTTATTACGAAGGAAATTTTAAGTGAACAGCTGAAAGTTGTATGAAAACCTGTGAAAGATTGAAACTCATTGTCTGATTTTACAATTAACAATGGACACATTAATCGAATCACTTGTCTAGTCATGTTCACATATTCTGATGACACTGAAAAATCTCACAAATATGAAAAACTAAAGTCACTAATAATCTTTCTGCCATATAAGTTAAATAATTGGAATACCGAAGTTTAAAAATGTCAGGAATAAGTGTTTAATTTTTTTGTCCTGAAGATGATTTCTTGCTAATAGCAGTGGATGGGTAGAGCCGAAGCTATTTTCTGAAGAACCTGTTTGTCACCTGCACTCGCCAACCTGTTAAAAAAAGGTTTCACATCCTTAAGTTATGTGATCATATTCGAAAAATTCATTTTGTAAAAGCTTTAGGATATAGGTTTAGATGATTTTGTTTGAGGTGATGTTTTCTATGAGACCATCTCATCGGTATTTATATTAGTTCGAATTAGGTTTCAAAGTCATGGTGATCATATATTCAAATTTTGGCAAATCTTAAATTTCAATATTTATGCACCAGTTTAAAGGAATAAAAAATATTTAACAAATTTGATTAGTGGATAGCGACTAATATATTTGTTATATTGTTACGATATCGTTTTGAGTAACTACGATTAAATCAGATAGATTATATGATAACTGATTTTTGAATTTTCTATAACTGTATTTAGAATCAGTCTCAGTATCTGTGAATATCCACATATTGAAGGATTTGATAGAAACTGTAATAATTTTACATATTCTCTTGAGTTTAATATCTCGCGTCTAGTTTAGACTCTTTATTCGATGATTTAAAGTTTGAATAGAATTTTGTGTAAACCCGATATAATGATAAACCATATGATGTAGTATAATTTGAATCTGGTTAAGAGACTTAGGTTTTCAACCGATAAATTTTGGATATGATTTGATCCAATTAATTTCAGTTTGAAACTTTCTGATATGTTAAAACATATAATTGATGATGATGATTAATCTCCAATATGTTAAAATTCACAGAACATATAGGAAGATCGTGAAGACTAGTCTACTTTTCTTTTTTCGGTTCTTCTTCCACAAATCCTTTTTGTCTGATCATGTATGAATTTTTTTTTTAAAATTTTCAGATTTTTTAGTGGTGGATCAAAGAAAATGGCATGATTAATTCTAATTAATCCGTTTTGGCTAGTTCATGTAATCTAAAACACGAAATGGACATCTAAGTTGTGTCGTAATCTGGTATGTGTGTTTCTATGTTGACTATTATGCTTAAATCGTATTATACGTACTACCAAAATGTATTCTATAGAAATCGTATAAAATCTTCAATGAATAGATGTAGGGAATAAATTGTAGTACACGTATTCAATCTTCAATGGTACAAAATATAATATAACACATGAGTAAAGCTTAATTTCTAAAAAAATCTAAAAAGTGATGTTCTTTTAATAGAACAGATATGGAGTTTTTTTTAGTTAGTCTTGGGCAAAAAATCCAAACCCGAAACCTCGAACCAGAACCAATAACCAGTTTGATCGGGTTCGGTTATAGGCTATTTACCTGATGGGTATTAAATTTAGGAACCATGGGTATCAGATCGGTTCTGGTTCTATCCGATATCCGATCGGTTAACCGAAATAAAATTCCTTTATGTACATAGAGTTTTGTAGAGCGATTTCCTGACGAAATAGATGGACCCAGAGGTCGATCTAAATACTGTTACGTAGGTCTCACAGTCAGCTATCCAGATCTTCTTTCTGTTACTAATTCCGAGTTATATTCAATCCAGAAATCATTTTTTAAATTGAAGAAAAAATCAGTATTTTGAAAAAAAATAAGTTTTTTCGGGTATTTAGTTACATTTCGAGTATATAGTTACATTTTCAACGATTTCAGGTCTAATTGAGTAAAAATAACCCGAACCAAACCGAAGTCATAAAAAACCATTTTCGGGTTTTAAACGGTTCTGAGATTTAAGAACCGAACCGACGCAGAACCGATAGGAACCGAACTGAACCCGAATTGAAATCCTTTCGGTACCTATATGGGTATAAAATTCTCTTACCCAAAAGAATCAGAACCGATTGGGTCGCACCCGGAACCGATCCGAATACCTGCATGTCCAGGGCTATTTTTTGTCATCTGAAAATATTAGACAACTATTAGAATAATTTTAACGGATTATTTATCTATTCTATAAAGCTTCATAACAGATTTGTAGATTCATTATGAATACTTCTAGTTGCACCATTATAGAAATTTTCCTTATTGCTTTGCCTCCAATATAACTTGCAAAAAAAACATCTTCTAGGAATCAAAACCCATACCTTTTGAGTAGAAGTATTATTAAACTGTTTAGTCAACCACTAAAATTTAACTTAATCAAATCATATATATTCTAATATTTTGGGTTATTTTTAAAACACCTTCGACACGCTGACAAGTGTATTCCTAGAATCAGCCACATGTACTTATGTGACTAATCTTAAGGTTGTTTTTTAGAAACACTTTCGACACACTGTCACGTGTACTCTTTGAATCAGCCATACATACTTATGTGGCTAATCTTATTTCACACATTAAAAACAACTATCTAAAAACAAAAAAAAAATTGTTCACGATTAGCCATCCGTGTTCTCTAATCCAAAAATGAAGACAAATCTAATACCTTGATCGCTGCTTTGGGAGTGAGTTTCTTGAGGTCTGAGCAACAGCATGGGGATGCCATAAGAGTTTCTCCTCTGATTGAGCTTTCCTCTTCATAGACATAGCTTTTCTGCCGATAGATCACAGATCCAGTTTCTCAATCAAGCTCCTAGTTGGAGATTTTATGGATTTTCGGAGATCTGAACCTTGCCGACGATGTTGAGATGGTGACTGAGGAGAAGATCATAGTTTCTGTGAATCGAGCCATCAAGAGAATTCTCTGCAGGAAGGACTGAACGATCGACAATACAGAGCTCCACCACCTGAAACGCAACAAGTCAAAGTGTTCGGCATCGTCACATTCTACTTTGAGGATGATACCTGAAAGGCAATGAAAAGCTTGGATGGTAAGGTGATACCAATCCAATTGAAATTCCTTTGAATCTTTTACAAAGAATTTTTTAATTTTATTGTCCCTGTAAGTTGTTATGTTTTCTCCCTACTACTAAAATCTGCATTTGTGTTATTGGTCAGAAAGCTTGGTTTGTTTTCTTTTTAATTGAGTTTAGTTCGTTCAAAAGATATTTCGTTTTGGCTTTTCTTTAATATGTCCCTTTCAAGAACTCACGTTGATGTTTTCTCTTGTGCTTTGTGTTTTTAACTCTGTGATTATTTATCCATCATTTATAAAACATACTTTTTTTTGCAGAATATGTTTCTGATAAAGAATTGGAGCAACCCTCACATGTCGCGTACACTGTTAAATGTTGCAAACCAAAATGACTAACAAGCTTTATCCTGCTGTAGAGATTTCCAGATATCCAGCGTTAGTATGAATTTGTTTACCTATGATAGTGTTAATGCTTTGATTCTTTGAGGATTGTATACCAGAGGTCTTGATTGACATTTTCATTGACAAAATTTACTGGGAAAATGGGATAAGACTGGTTCAGAATGATTAATCACATCAGGTTCGACTCATGCTTTGAAAGTCTGCTCATCTTCTGTACGTAAATTACTCTTTTCTTCATTGTTTCATGGTTACAAAGTTACCTTCAGATGGAACTAAAAGAGTTGAAAATATTTCATACCTTATTCCTCTTACATTTGGAGAAGCGTTTGAAGAATTATATCAGGTGATCATCATAGTGGATGACAGCGACCACTTTGTTATTAAGGGGTTCATCGAACACTTAATCTTCTTCTACTCATATTTTTTGTTTTCAATTTGAGTTTTCTTATGGATTAGTTATGAAAGTGAGACGATATCCCTCTCTGATGAGATACTTTAATCAACAGCACTTTGCATTTCAATGATCTTCCTACCATCTCTTATTATTTTCTTACTCACAAGCACAATTCGTTTTTCAAATAGGCTATAATACATTACAAAAGAGAACAATGACACATTCTACACAACATCAAGTAGGCCACATGATCAAGTAAACCGAGGCAAAGTGAATAACTAGAAAACTTCACTTTCAGTCATTTTAATTTTATTCAAATCTGTTTTATTAGAAATAATGAATTATTGTGTACAACATATTTGAAACAAATTACTTCCGTATCTACGAGAATATCATAAGTAAAATTATAAAAGCCAATAAAAAGAAATTTCGAACCAGATTACACTTAATGTATTGTATAATGAATCCAATTTAAACAAATGAGGCCATCACACCAATTGCTTTTAGAAAACGCACAAAATACGAAATAAACAACGAAACACATAAGTTGCCAATAAATAAAATTGGGTTTAACTTATTAGTTTATTTGCAGTAATTAACTACATATAGTATTTATATCAAAGCTTCTATAGAAGCAACTGTTACTTCAAACCACCACTCAATCACACCACCACTAAAGACTCAAATATTCTCAGAGTCCTTTAACAAATACAATTAGTATTTTTCCAAAATTATAAGCCGAAATAAACCTAGCATACACACAGCAAATACATAACCTGTAAAAGAAGTTTCCCTTACAAACAATGCTATATTTTCAGTATTCATTATTGGGAAGACATATCCATTTCAGACTAAACACAAATAAATTTTTTTACTATATTGTATAAAATAATCAAATCTCATTTTTTTATACATATTATAATTTTGCTTATTTTTATACAATTTATTTTTAAAATGGATGTATTACCAATTTAAAAATTAATATTTACCTATAACATTTATTAATAAATATAACAAAATTAATTAGGTAATTAAAATATTTTTAATATTACACAACTTGCACAACACGTAAGGTTTCCCCTAGTACTCTATATGAATAATAAAAAGCCATCTCTAATAGCTTGCCACGTCAGCATTATAGAAGAGGACATGTGTCCATGAGAAATAAATATATGACGATTTGAATTCTAAACTTTAAACTTTTTCAAGTTCTTAAAGCATCGCCAACGGCAGAAGCGATTCTCAGAATTATTATATTATAATTTAATAAAATAATTAATTTTGATAAGAAAAGAAAACATACCATTAATGAAATGACACATGTCTGAATTTTATTTGAAACGCTTCTCAACTAAATATTTTTTAAAACCTGTTCTATCTCTTTCTTATCTCTCTCTTTTTTTTTATTATTTTTATTATTTTTAATATTTAGATACTTATGTTTAAAACTTCCATTGGAGGTGGTCTTACCTCATCTTGTTTACTGTTTATGTTCATCTTTTTTTATGACATTTGACTTTTTTCTATTCTTCATATACATCTTATCTCCAATGTTTAGTATATTATATGTTTCAATTTTT